CTTATCAATTCACAATGATAATGTATTAAAAACCCAATCCTATATCAGTCTAGCCAGTCTATGCATCTGATGAAGTGGGCAGTAACTCACAAAACCTTATGCCTTTTTATAAAATTTGTTAGTTGGAAAAGGTGCTACCAGACTCCTCCTAATTTTTTGACACCAATAGACTAACACAGCTCTCACCCTATTCAGTTTTTATGGAACTCTTCTGTTTTTCTGTCAGCCTCGTGAGGCAGTCGGGACAAGAAGCACACCCAGAAGTACTAGCTCTAACCTTATTGAAAGGTTACATTAACAGAATCTTGCCAGTCTGTAAGAACATCTCTTCCCCCTCACCTTTACAGTCCAAGAAACTAGGGAGGGCCCCTTCTGAGGCATTTGCCACGCCCCCATTCCTTCTGCGGGCTCAGCTGCCGTTTGTCTGACCATTGCCTAGTCTGTGGCCCTTCCTCTTGTCTCCCAAGGTCATTCCCACATACCATTACATTGTCTTTTTCTTTTGGTTGCTGCAACTGAGGAGGTTCTCCTGCACCTCTTATGTGGTCACGGTATTGAAAGTAATGGGCAAGATGTCAGTACCCCCTCCATTTCACATATGGAAGCTAACTGGATGTGAAGTTAATTAACTCTTATTTTAACATTGGCAATGCAGTATTCCATTGGCCTGTGGGCAGACAACCTCGTGATGCTGAGCAGACCACATATACCACACAGTTCTATCCATTCCCCCTTTCTTAGTCTTGATCCACTCAGCCTTAGTTTCAGCTACTTAAGCAATGATATTAACCTACAATGTAGAGGGAATGATGTGTCAACACAATATGTATGGCATTTTGTTCTCTAAGGCAAATGGTAGATTTCTTCACTATGGTTATTCTCTATTCATCAGCAAATATGAAAGGGATAGTCTGATGTATCTTCCGGTAACAATCAGCTGTAGGAGAGGAGCCAAATTGTAAGGAAGAACAACGTTCTGCGATATTTTAAAGAATTATACTTTTGGGGGGGGATTATTTTTTGTGTAGTCAAGAGCGTGTTGAGCATAATGTCACAAACTAGCCTTTTGCCGATGAAGCTTGTGCCAGAAATCAGGGCCTTTTATCATGCTGCAAGCAGAGTCTGATTTTTAATTTATTTGAAAGAAAATATAAATTGCTATTTCATATAAATGTTGTACAGCTATGTAAAGCAGGTAAGAGGAAATAGAATGGGGTCTTTGTTTACCAAAAAAGCAATTGTGCTGGTAATTGTACAAATCATGAATGATCCATGTTGGGTTCTGTTTTGATTAGCAAAAGCAAATAGACTTGTGGCATATGAATGAGTAATAAATACATTGTGGCATGGGCTTTTATTTTCAATAGCTGATTTTCTCAGTTGCATGAAGGAATGCCTTGATTGTGTATGATAGTCTATACTGCAGATGTGTGTATGTGTCATCAAAATGAACTTTTTTTTTAATTGCTAGGCATGAAAGAAACTTCATTCTAACAGAGCAGGAGGTTCTAAAAGGCCCTGTTGGTTCAATTTTCTTGCTGATTTTTAGCAGAAATAACAATATTCTCCCCCTACAAATCTGTTACTGAAGGTATCTGAAGGAACTGTTCACGAATATAGTCATAAAGGATTCTAGATCAGCTATTGCCACACAGTTAAGTGAGATTTTAATAGTAGGCTGGCTGTGGGTTTTCTTTTCTTCAGAAAAGTCCCTGCTGCTGCATTAAGGGGAGACTTGAGACTTGTGGGTTTAACCCCTCTCCCCCCAGGATTTTACCATCTCTTAAGGTAGTTGGGTGCAGAGTTGACCTTGGGGGGGGGGCTTTTATCCCCCTTTAATGTATTGACTCGGGTGCAACCCCTGGGACGGAATGGTAGAGCATGGTGGAGCATGGCAGAGTGGGGGAGCGTGATGGAGAGCTTGGGTGAGCAGCAGGCTTGGGCGAGCTCCAGTGTAGTTCCTGTGTGGCACGGTGAACCCCAGTGAACCCTGGAGTTGCGTGGAGATCCCTGGTGGACCCCAGCATGGGTGGTAACTCTCGGTGAGCCCTGGGACAGCGTGGTGAGCCCTGGAGCAGAGTGGGGCAGCGTAGTGAGCTCCAATGTGCTCCGGAACACAGTGAGCTGCAACGAGCCCCGGAGTTGCAACGAGCCCTGGACTGGCTCTGTGAATTCCAACAGGCCCCAGCATGGTGCAGTGAGCCACAGCGAGTCTTGGTGAGCCCCAGTACATGCAGCAAGCCCTGATGAGCCCCAGCATGGTGCGACGATCTTCAGTGGGCCCCGACGTAGCATATCGAGCTCCAGGCCCAGCAGGGCCTGACGTGGTACAACAAGCCTTAGGCCCAGCTAGCTCAGTAGGCCCCAGTGAGCCCCAGCACAGTGTGGCAAACCCCAGCAGGCCCCGAGGTGGCATATCGAACCCCAGGCCCAGCAGGCTCCTATGCGGCACATCGAACTCCAGGTCCAGTAGGCTCAGTAAGCCCCGACATGGTACAGCAAGGCCCAGGGAGCCCTGGAGCAGTGCTGCGAATTCCAAGGAGCCCTGGAGCCACACAGCGAGTCTTAGTGAGCCCTGGAGTGATGCGACAAACTCCAGTGAGCCCCTATTTGCTGTGGGGACCTGGAGGCATCTGGAGTCCTGGGGACTTGGTGGTTTGGTGCAAGGATGCGGAGTGGGTTGGAGGGGCCGAGCGTGTAGTGGACTTGTAATCCAGCTTTGGAGGAAGATTGCTCAGCTTTGGAGGAACAACCGGGCAGTGGAGCAGCCGGACAGTACACTAAGCCAACAGCCCTTGATTTTAAGAGTGGTGAACTCGTGATTAAGAACCTAGCCACCCCCACTTACCCTACCCAGTGTCAGTGGAGAGCTGTAGGGTCCCTCCAGTGTGAGTCTGGGACACCCTCCCGGGAGTGAGAGTCAAGGAGGGAGTCTGGGAGTGTTTGAGGATATGAGGATTCACCTCCTGGGTGAGAGACAGGAGGTATGAGGGAGTCAGTGGGATGCTCACCCTGCTGACTAGTGAGAGAGGTCGTGCAGGGGGGCAGAGTGTGAGGGGAGTGTAAGATTTGGTGGGGGTGGGCCCCAGTGGTGCCGAGAGCATGAGCTGATGTGCAGGCGAGACCTTCCCTCACCTGTGAGTGTCTGGTTGTGAATGAGGATGATTGATTGGGTGGAGGGAACTTTACCACAGATTAGGGACTCTGGGGGTCCAGGATTGAAGGTACCTGGGCCCAGAACCTCCAAGGACTATGTGGGGGGCCACACTATTAAGGTGATGATGGGTAGAGGACGATATTGCGGTAGCTGGAGGGTGGGTCATCTTCGGGGAAGATGCCCCCTGTGTGTGTTACTGGTGGCATGTTCCGGCCCTCCTTATGATGGAATGGAAAGAGAGGGATCGGGGACAGAAGCATCTCCTCAGCCTACAGCGTGAGCATGGGAAAGCGAAGAAGATGAGACTGGCACCACCCTAAGGAATTCGTAGTGTTTAGCTGCTGGCTTGGGGAGTTAGTCTGGTGAGATTCTGTCTAGCAGGTGTGAGCTAATAAAGTAACTGAGCTGTTCC